AGATTAGGGCCCTTTAATGATGACAGATTAGGCCCTTTAATTATGACAGATTAGGCCCTTTAATTATGACAGATTAGGGCCCTTTAATGATGACAGATTAGGCGCTTTAATGATGACAGATTAGGCCCTTTAATGATGACAGATTAGGCCCTTTAATTATGACAGATTAGGGCCCTTTAATGATGACAGATTAGGCCCTTTAATGATGACAGATTAGGCCCTTTAACTATGACAGATTAGGCCCTTTAATGATGACAGATTAGGGCCCTTTAATTATGACAGATTAGGGCCTTTAATGATGACAGATTAGGGTCCTTTAATGATGACAGATTAGGGCCCTTTAATTATGACAGATTAGGGCCCTTTAATGATGACAGATTAGGCGCTTTAATGATGACAGATTAGGCCCTTTAATGATGACAGATTAGGCCCTTTAATTATGACAGATTAGGGCCCTTTAATGATGACACATTAGGCCCTTTAATGATGACAGATTAGGCCCTTTAACAATGACAGATTAGGGCCCTTTAATGATGACAGATTAGGGCCCTTTAATGATGACAGATTAGGGCCCTTTAATGATGACAGATTAGGGCCCTTTAATGATGACAGATTAGGCCCTTTAATTATGACAGATTAGGGCCCTTTAATAATGACAGATTAGGCCCTTTAATTATGACAGATTAGGCCCTTTAATTATGACAGATTAGGGCCCTTTAATGATGACAGATTAGGCCCTTTAATGATGACAGATTAGGGCCCTTTAATGATGACAGATTAGGCCCTTTAATTATGACAGATTAGGGCCCTTTAATGATGACAGATTAGGCCCTTTAATTATGACAGATTAGGGCCCTTTAATGATGACAGATTAGGCCCTTTAATTATGACAGATTAGGCCCTTTAATTATGACAGATTAGGGCCCTTTAATGATGACAGATTAAGGCCCTTTAATGATGACAGATTAGGCCCTTTAATGATGACAGATTAAGGCCCTTTAATGATGACAGATTAGGCCCTTTAATTATGACAGATTAGGCCCTTTAATTATGACAGATTAGGGCCCTTTAATGATGACAGATTAGGCCCTTTAATTATGACAGATTAGGGCCCTTTAATGATGACAGATTAGGCCCTTTAATTATGACAGATTAGGCCCTTTAATTATGACAGATTAGGGCCCTTTAATGATGACAGATTAAGGCCCTTTAATGATGACAGATTAGGCCTTTTAATGATGACAGATTAAGGCCCTTTAATGATGACAGATTAGGCCCTTTAATGATGACAGATTAGGGCCCTTTAATTATGACAGATTAGGCCCTTTAATTATGACAGATTAGGGCCCTTTAATGATGACAGATTAAGGCCCTTTAATGATGACAGATTAGGCCCTTTAATGATGACAGATTAAGGCCCTTTAATGATGACAGATTAGGCCCTTTAATGATGACAGATTAGGGCCCTTTAATTATGACAGATTAGGCCAGGGGTGGCCAACCAGTCAGAGACTAAGAGCCAATTTTTTTTACTGTGTTACAGCAAAGAGCCACATCATACAAATGTGCACTACATAAACATCACCCCAACCCTTACACACGCACGCACACGCGCACGTACTGTACGCACACGAGCAGACACGCGCACACACATGCAATCTGTCTGTGCAGAGAGAGGTCTGCTCTGCTCAGACAGATTTATTGTAAATGTCATCAACATGATAATGACAGAAATGGACTCGTACAGCACTAAAGGGCTGGACTGAACTCTCCCCGGTTTGCAGGCGCTTCCACCGCTCGCTTCAGCCGCTCCCCGGTACTTTTTATTGATGGTTCGGCCCTGGTTCTAACCGGGCGAGTCTATACCAGAACAATTTCACGTCAGCGAACATCAATTATGATTCCGCAATGAATGCTTTCAATCTCTAACCAAGAAAAAAAAATCAAGTTTCAACCCAGTGTTCAGCAGAAACACAACTGTCTTTAGTAAAAGATATAGATTTGACACATAACACCAACACCACTTTAGCTGATTTAGAACCACAGACACATGCTCAGTATAAGACCAGATACTTTTGCATTTGATTGAAGACAGACACTCACCAGGCAGAGTTGGCTAATCTCCTGGTGTAACGCTAGCTGGTGCTAGCTGGTTTTAGCATGTTAGCCGGTGTTAGCCGATGTCCGTAAATGTAATCCATTTGGTCAAACCACCTCCAGACTTTTCGGGTCTGCCTCTACTTCTGCTGCTGCGATCTTTCATTTCACGGTTGTCACTTTTAAGCTTTTTAACTTTTCTCTGCATTGTCATGTTTGTGGGAATCATTCTGCTCCGTCCTTAGCGCTAGCTCCACAAACACCTTCTGGTTTCTGGTGGAACCAGCGAGATCAGGCTGGTGTCCTCTCCTCAAACTGAGGAAGGTGTTGCCCTCATCCAGCGACCAAGGAATTGTTTTCCGTACGGACGCCATGGTTCGAGGCAACGTGTTGTTTGTTATGATATTTGCTACAGCTGCAGAGTGATTGACAGCGCATCTGACCAACCAGAATTGACGTTCGCCGACGTCAGATTGTTTTGGTGGCCCGGCTAGTGGAGTGAAGTCGGCCTTTACTATTGGTCAGAACTACATAGAGAATGAAAGGCAGCGCCACCACCGAGGCGTTTTTGACGCTTGTCGAGTGAAAGCCCGAGAGCCGCACGGAACCAGCCAAAGAGCCGCATGCGGCTCACGAGCCGCGGGTTGGCCACCCCTGGATTAGGCCCTTTAATTTTGACAGATTAGGCCCTTTAATTATGACAGATTAGGGCCCTTTAATTATGATAGATTAGGCCCTTTAATTATGACAGATTGGGCCCTTTAATTATGACAGATTAGGGCCCTTTAATGATGACAGATTAGGCCCTTTAATTATGACAGACTAGGGCCCTTTAATGATGACAGATTAGGCCCTTTAATTATGACAGATTAGGCCCTTTAATTATGACAGATTAGGGCCCTTTAATGATGACAGATTAGGCGCTTTAATGATGACAGATTAGGCCCTTTAATGATGACAGATTAGGGCCCTTTAATTATGACAGATTAGGGCCCTTTAATTATGACAGATTAGGGCCCTTTAATGATGACAGATAAGGGTCCTTTAATGATGACAGATTAGGGCCCTTTAATGATGACAGATTAGGGCCCTTTAATGATGACAGATTTAGGCCCTTTAATGATGACAGATTAGGCCCTTTAATTATGACAGATTAGGGCCCTTTAATGATGACAGATTAGGGCCCTTTAATGATGACAGATTAGGCCCTTTAATGATGACAGATTAGGGCCCTTTAATTATGACAGATTAGGGCCCTTTAATGATGACAGATAAGGGTCCTTTAATGATGACAGATTAGGGCCCTTTAATGATGACAGATTAGGGCCCTTTAATGATGACAGATTAGGCCCTTTAATGATGACAGATTAGGCCCTTTAATGATGACAGATTAGGGCCCTTTAATGATGACAGATTAGGGCCCTTTAATGATGACAGATTAGGGTCCTTTAATGATGACAGATTAGGCCCTTTAATTATGACAGATTAGGCCCTTTAATGATGACAGATTAGGCCCTTTAATTATGACAGATTAGGCCCTTTAATGATGACAGATTGGACCCTTTAATGATGACAGATAAGGGTCCTTTAATGATGACAGATTAGGGCCCTTTAATGATGACAGATTAGGGCCCTTTAATGATGACAGATTAGGCCCTTTAATGATGACAGATTAGGCCCTTTAATTATGACAGATTAGGGCCCTTTAATGATGACAGATTAGGGCCCTTTAATGATGACAGATTAGGGTCCTTTAATGATGACAGATTAGGCCCTTTAATTATGACAGATTAGGCCCTTTAATGATGACAGATTAGGCCCTTTAATTATGACAGATTAGGGCCCTTTAATGATGACAGATTAGGGCCCTTTAATGATGACAGATTAGGGTCCTTTAATGATGACAGATTAGGCCCTTTAATTATGACAGATTAGGCCCTTTAATGATGACAGATTAGGCCCTTTAATTATGACAGATTAGGCCCTTTAATAATGATAGATTAGGGCCCTTTAATGATGACAGATTAGGGCCCTTTAATGATGACAGATTAGGCCCTTTAATTATGACAGATTAGGCCCTTTAATGATGACAGATTAGGCCCTTTAATGATGACAGATTAGGGCCCTTTAATGATGACAGATTAGGCCCTTTAATTATGACAGATTAGGGCCCTTTAATGATGACAGATTAGGCCCTTTAATGATGACAGATTAGGCCCTTTAACGATCCTTCTGTAAGAGTGTGCGATAAAGTGCCGCTGGAGCCACTGTTGCATTATTGCAGAGTTCCTACAGAAAGCCGTCGTATCAAAGCCTGGATCATATCTGCGTTTGCTTCAATGGTCCAGGAGCTCCTGTGATGTCACACACTTCTTGTTATTGGAAGAAGACGGAGATGAGTCCAGATAAGCAGCAGCGTAACCTCAGATTCAGCTCAGAATAAAAAGACATAAAAGAGAAGTGAGAGACGGCGAAGCGGCACAGAGGCTTTGGTGTTTTTATCTGGAGAAATCCACAGCCACAGCCACAGCCGCAGCCACAGCCGCAGCCGCAGCCGCCCTGACTCCTCCTGAGAGAGAGAGAGATCCAGGCTCAGGGCGATCAAAGCACAGGGACCTTCTGCTTCTGTAATTATGTATTTCAGTTTTAAAGATGTGTATTTTCTTTACATGATGTTCGGGTTTTCACTCTTCTTCATGTGTCAGTCTTCAGCACATGATAATAATGTGGAAAATACACAAACAACAATAAAACTTGTCAAATTATAGCCATTTCTTGCATAGAGGTGATGTCACATACATTGAAACAGCTGGTTCTGTGCTCCGACGTAGCCTCATGCTAACTCGGAGGTAAACAAAGCAGTGTGAAAGCTAACACACTAAGCTAATAAACGTTTTCCTTCAATGATCGTCACACACAGCCTGCAGAGGCTACTGTTAGCATCACTGCACCTGCAGAGGCTACTGTTAGCATCACTGCACCTGCAGAGGCTACTGTTAGCATCACTGCACCTGCAGAGGCTACTGTTAGCATCACTGCACCTGCAGAGGCTACTGTTAGCATCACTGCACCTGCAGAGGCTACTGTTAGCATCACTGCACCTGCAGAGGCTACTGTTAGCATCACTGCACCTGCAGAGGCTACTGTTAGCATCACTGCACCTGCAGAGGCTACTGTTAGCATCACTGCACCTGCAGAGGCTACTGTTAGCATCACTGCACCTGCAGAGGCTACTGTTAGCATCACTGCACCTGCAGAGGCTACTGTTAGCATCACTGCACCTGCAGAGGCTACTGTTAGCATCACTGCACCTGCAGAGGCTACTGTTAGCATCACTGCACCTGCAGAGGCTACTGTTAGCATCACTGCACCTGCAGAGGCTACTGTTAGCATCACTGCACCTGCAGAGGCTACTGTTAGCATCACTGCACCTGCAGAGGCTACTGTTAGCATCACTGCACCTGCAGAGGCTACTGTTAGCATCACTGCACCTGCAGAGGCTACTGTTAGCATCACTGCACCTGCAGAGGCTACTGTTAGCATCACTGCACCTGCAGAGGCTACTGTTAGCATCACTGCACCTGCAGAGGCTACTGTTAGCATCACTGCACCTGCAGAGGCTACTGTTAGCATCACTGCACCTGCAGAGGCTACTGTTAGCATCACTGCACCTGCAGAGGCTACTGTTAGCATCACTGCACCTGCAGAGGCTACTGTTAGCATCACTGCACCTGCAGAGGCTACTGTTAGCATCACTGCACCTGCAGAGGCTACTGTTAGCATCACTGCACCTGCAGAGGCTACTGTTAGCATCACTGCACCTGCAGAGGCTACTGTTAGCATCACTGCACCTGCAGAGGCTACTGTTAGCATCACTGCACCTGCAGAGGCTACTGTTAGCATCACTGCACCTGCAGAGGCTACTGTTAGCATCACTGCACCTGCAGAGGCTACTGTTAGCATCACTGCACCTGCAGAGGCTACTGTTAGCATCACTGCACCTGCAGAGGCTACTGTTAGCATCACTGCACCTGCAGAGGCTACTGTTAGCATCACTGCACCTGCAGAGGCTACTGTTAGCATCACTGCACCTGCAGAGGCTACTGTTAGCATCACTGCACCTGCAGATGGCTACTGCAGAGGCTTGTTAGCATCACTGCACCTGCAGAGGCTACTGTTAGCATCACTGCACCTGCAGAGGCTACTGTTAGCATCACTGCACCTGCAGAGGGTTAGCATACTGCACCTGCAGAGGCTACATCACTGCACCTGCAGAGGCTACTGTTAGCATCACTGCACCTGCAGAGGCTACTGTTAGCATCACTGCACCTGCAGAGGCTACTGTTAGCATCACTGCACCTGCAGAGGCTACTGTTAGCATCACTGCACCTGCAGAGGCTACTGTTAGCATCACTGCACCTGCAGAGGCTACTGTTAGCATCACTGCACCTGCAGAGGCTACTGTTAGCATCACTGCACCTGCAGAGGCTACTGTTAGCATCACTGCACCTGCAGAGGCTACTGTTAGCATCACTGCACCTGCAGAGGCTACTGTTAGCATCACTGCACCTGCAGAGGCTACTGTTAGCATCACTGCACCTGCAGAGGCTACTGTTAGCATCACTGCACCTGCAGAGGCTACTGTTAGCATCACTGCACCTGCAGAGGCTACTGTTAGCATCACTGCACCTGCAGAGGCTACTGTTAGCATCACTGCACCTGCAGAGGCTACTGTTAGCATCACTGCACCTGCAGAGGCTACTGTTAGCATCACTGCACCTGCAGAGGCTACTGTTAGCATCACTGCACCTGCAGAGGCTACTGTTAGCATCACTGCACCTGCAGAGGCTACTGTTAGCATCACTGCACCTGCAGAGGCTACTGTTAGCATCACTGCACCTGCAGAGGCTACTGTTAGCATCACTGCACCTGCAGAGGCTACTGTTAGCATCACTGCACCTGCAGAGGCTACTGTTAGCATCACTGCACCTGCAGAGGCTACTGTTAGCATCACTGCACCTGCAGAGGCTACTGTTAGCATCACTGCACCTGCAGAGGCTACTGTTAGCATCACTGCACCTGCAGAGGCTACTGTTAGCATCACTGCACCTGCAGAGGCTACTGTTAGCATCACTGCACCTGCAGAGGCTACTGTTAGCATCACTGCACCTGCAGAGGCTACTGTTAGCATCACTGCACCTGCAGGAGGCTACTGTTAGCATCACTGCACCTGCAGAGGCTACTGTTAGCATCACTGCACCTGCAGAGGCTACTGTTAGCATCACTGCACCTGCAGAGGCTACTGTTAGCATCACTGCACCTGCAGAGGCTACTGTTAGCATCACTGCACCTGCAGAGGCTACTGTTAGCATCACTGCACCTGCAGAGGCTACTGTTAGCATCACTGCACCTGCAGAGGCTACTGTTAGCATCACTGCACCTGCAGAGGCTACTGTTAGCATCACTGCACCTGCAGAGGCTACTGTTAGCATCACTGCACCTGCAGAGGCTACTGTTAGCATCACTGCACCTGCAGAGGCTACTGTTAGCATCACTGCACCTGCAGAGGCTACTGTTAGCATCACTGCACCTGCAGAGGCTACTGTTAGCATCACTGCACCTGCAGAGGCTACTGTTAGCATCACTGCACCTGCAGAGGCTACTGTTAGCATCACTGCACCTGCAGAGGCTACTGTTAGCATCACTGCACCTGCAGAGGCTACTGTTAGCATCACTGCACCTGCAGAGGCTACTGTTAGCATCACTGCACCTGCAGAGGCTACTGTTAGCATCACTGCACCTGCAGAGGCTACATGCAGAGGCTACTGTTAGCATCACTGCACCTGCAGAGGCTACTGTTAGCATCACTGCACCTGCAGAGGCTACTGTTAGCATCACTGCACCTGCAGAGGCTACTGTTAGCATCACTGCACCTGCAGAGGCTACTGTTAGCATCACTGCACCTGCAGAGGCTACTGTTAGCATCACTGCACCTGCAGAGGCTACTGTTAGCATCACTGTTAGCACCTGCAGCAGGCTACTGTTAGCATCACTGCACCTGCAGAGGCTACTGTTAGCATCACTGCACCTGCAGAGGCTACTGTTAGCATCACTGCACCTGCAGAGGCTACTGTTAGCATCACTGCACCTGCAGAGGCTACTGTTAGCATCACTGCACCTGCAGAGGCTACTGTTAGCATCACTGCACCTGCAGAGGCTACTGTTAGCATCACTGCACCTGCAGAGGCTACTGTTAGCATCACTGCACCTGCAGAGGCTACTGTTAGCATCACTGCACCTGCAGAGGCTACTGTTAGCATCACTGCACCTGCAGAGGCTACTGTTAGCATCACTGCACCTGCAGAGGCTACTGTTAGCATCACTGCACCTGCAGAGGCTACTGTTAGCATCACTGCACCTGCAGAGGCTACAGAGGCTACTGTTAGCATCACTGCACCTGCAGAGGCTACTGTTAGCATCACTGCACCTGCAGAGGCTACTGTTAGCATCACTGCACCTGCAGAGGCTACTGTTAGCATCACTGCACCTGCAGAGGCTACTGTTAGCATCACTGCACCTGCAGAGGCTACTGTTAGCATCACTGCACCTGCAGAGGCTACTGTTAGCATCACTGCACCTGCAGAGGCTACTGTTAGCATCACTGCACCTGCAGAGGCTACTGTTAGCATCACTGCACCTGCAGAGGCTACTGTTAGCATCACTGCACCTGCAGAGGCTACTGTTAGCATCACTGCACCTGCAGAGGCTACTGTTAGCATCACTGCACCTGCAGAGGCTACTGTTAGCATCACTGCACCTGCAGAGGCTACTGTTAGCTCACTGTTAGGCTACTGTTAGCATCACTGCACCTGCAGAGGCTACTGTTAGCATCACTGCACCTGCAGAGGCTACTGTTAGCATCACTGCACCTGCAGAGGCTACTGTTAGCATCACTGCACCTGCAGAGGCTACTGTTAGCATCACTGCACCTGCAGAGGCTACTGTTAGCATCACTGCACCTGCAGAGGCTACTGTTAGCATCACTGCACCTGCAGAGGCTACTGTTAGCATCACTGCACCTGCAGAGGCTACTGTTAGCATCACTGCACCTGCAGAGGCTACTGTTAGCATCACTGCACCTGCAGAGGCTACTGTTAGCATCACTGCACCTGCAGAGGCTACTGTTAGCATCACTGCACCTGCAGAGGCTACTGTTAGCATCACTGCACCTGCAGAGGCTACTGTTAGCATCACTGCACCTGCAGAGGCTACTGTTAGCATCACTGCACCTGCAGAGGCTACTGTTAGCATCACTGCACCTGCAGAGGCTACTGTTAGCATCACTGCACCTGCAGAGGCTACTGTTAGCATCACTGCACCTGCAGAGGCTACTGTTAGCATCACTGCACCTGCAGAGGCTACTGTTAGCATCACTGCACCTGCAGAGGCTACTGTTAGCATCACTGCACCTTTGAACATAGTTGTTTTGCTTCCTCTGGAAAATGAAAGAGAAAGTTTGCTCTCAAACTAAAGCTTGTGGGAGTAAATGAAAAACGACTGTGGGTAAACAGCTGTGATCATGTTTAAAGCAGAGAAAAGTAAAAACGCGTACTTTCTACTTTCATGAGAAGTTTTGAAAGTGGAAGAGTAACTTAATCCAGAGATAGATGTTGTTCTTAATCCTCCTGATGCCAGACTTCAGGAGGTTCCTGCTGAGGCTAAAAGCGTTTAAGCTAGCAGGCTCCTGTCGCGTGACATCAGCTGCTCGTCCACGTCAAAGAAGCAGCCGACACGCTCTAATGCCGTGTTCAGACCGATCGCGATGGAGGAGTCAGGGGCGAGTGATTTACATGTTATGTCTATGGCCGGGTGCGCTCAGGAGCGAATGACAGGCCGGCGGTGCGAATGACGAGAGTAGAGCGAGGCGAACAGGGCGTTTTGAACGAAAAGAGCGGAACGAAAGTGGCGAAAGGGGCGTTTGACGCGCGCCTAGAGCCATTTCGCCTCCACCGCCCTACTCGCTCGAGTTGAAAAATCTGAACTTTTTGGTCAATTCGCGGGGCGTTGACCAATCAGGGACTGAATCGAGCAGTGACGTAGCATTGAACAACATTTAGTTATCTAACCTAATGGACTATTAATTATCTAACCCCCACCTGAAACGAGCTTATCGTGTCTAGTTTGGCATAACTAACTGATTAGTTTGGCATAAATCTAAAAGCTAAACAGTGGCACAATGGCTTTACATGTAAAGTACTTGGATTATAACATTTGGAATCTTATTTATTGAGAACCGCTTGATTTACTAACCGAAGACAGATGGACAGGCGCTCTGCAGGGGAGATAGAGCGCCTGTAGTTGGTCTCCCGGACGGTGATCCGAGCCCCAACGCGGGACAGCAGGTCCTCAAACTGGGTCCTGGACACACGGAAATACCGCTGGAATCGACCGTCATCCAGGCGCAGCTCCTGGAGCAGATGGTGGTACTCCCCATATTGGGAGCGTCTCTGGAGGATATCGTGGACCCAGAGACGGCGTCGCTGCCGCCGCTGTTCGGCTTTCCACATTAAATAAAGTATAGTGACTCGTTCCAGAAAATCAAAGCCCGCCATGCTGAGTTGAACAACAACCGGAACCGGCAACTGGCCATAAGCTCCTCCTATTGGATGACGCGGCGAGGCGAAATCTCGACGAAAATCCGCAGGCGAACAGAGCGAGTAATCGCCGCGATAGAAGCGAGTGTCATCAAATATTCAAGCGAAAAACGCCTGGCGTTTGATGCGATTTTTTCGCCTCCATCGCGATCGGTCTGAACACGGCATAATGGGATAGCATTAGCATTAGCATTAGCATTAGCATTAGCATTAGCATTAGCATTAGCATATGGTTTCAGCTAATATTAAGTTAGAAACCAGTGCTGCGCACGGAACAGCCCAGAGAAGGTCACTACATTCTGCTCCTGCTCCTGCTCCTCTCCTGCTCCTCTCCTGCTCCTCTCCTGCTCCTCTCCTGCTCCTGCTCCTCTCCTGCTCCTCTCCTGCTCCTCACCTCCTGCTCCTCTCCTGCTCCTCTCCTGCTCCTCTCCTGCTCCTCTCCTGCTCCTCTCCTGCTCCTCTCCTGCTCCTGCTCCTCTCCTGCTCCTCTCCTGCTCACCTCCTCTCCTGCTCCTCTCCTGCTCCTGCTCCTCTCCTCTCCTCCTGCTCCTCTCCTGCTCCTCTCCTCTCCTGCTCCTGCTCACCTCCTCTCCTGCTCCTCTCCTGCTCCTCTCCTCTCCTCTCCTGCTCCTGCTCCTCTCCTGCTCCTCTCCTGCTCACCTCCTCTCCTGCTCCTCTCCTGCTCCTCTCCTCTCCTCTCCTGCTCCTCTCCTCTCCTGCTCCTCTCCTGCTCCTCTCCTCTCCTGCTCCTCTCCTGCTCCTCTCCTCCTCCTGCTCCTCTCGCTGCTCCTCTCCTGCTCCTCTCCTGCCCCTCTCCTGCTCCTCTCCTGCTCCTCAACCTCCTGCTCCTCTCCTGCTCCTCTCCTGCTCCTGCTCCTCTCCTGCTCCTCTCCTGCTCCTCACCTCCTGCTCCTCTCCTGCTCCTCTCCTCTCCTGCTCCTCACCTCCTGCTCCTCTCCTGCTCCTCTCCTGCTCCTGCTCCTCTCCTGCTCCTCTCTCCTGCTCCTCTCCTGCACCTCTCCTGCTCCTCTCCTGCTCACCTCCTCTCCTGCTCCTCTCCTGCTCCTGCTCCTCTCCTGCTCCTGCTCCTCTCCTGCTCACCTCCTCTCCTGCTCCTCTCCTGCTCCTCTCCTCTCCTCTCCTCTCCTGCTCCTCTCCGCTCCTCTCCTGCTCCTCTCCTGCTCCTCTCCTGCTCCTCTCCTGCTCCTCACCTCTCCTGCTCCTCTCCTGCTCCTCACCTCTCCTGCTCCTCAACCTCTCCTGCTCCTCTCCTGCTCCTCTCCTCTCCTGCTCCTCTCCTCTCCTGCTCCTCTCCTCTCCTGCTCCTGCTCCTCTCCTGCTCCTCACCTCCTGCTCACCTCCTCTTCTGCTCCTCTCCTGCTCCTGCTCCTCTCCTGCTCACCTCCTCTCCTGCTCCTCTCCTGCTCCTCTCCTCTCCTCTCCTGCTCCTCTCCTCTCCTCTCCTGCTCCTCTCCTGCTCCTCTCCTGCTCCTCTCCTGCTCCTCACCTCTCCTGCTCCTCTCCTGCTCCTCACCTCTCTGCTCCTCACCTCTCCTGCTCCTCACCTCTCCTGCTCCTCACCTCTCCTGCTCCTCTCCTCTCCTGCTCCTCTCCTCTCCTGCTCCTCTCCTCTCCTGCTCCTGCTCCTCTCCTGCTCCTCACCTCCTGCTCACCTCCTCTTCTGCTCCTCTCCTGCTCCTGCTCCTCTCCTCTCCTGCTCCTCTCCTGCTCCTGCTCCTCTCCTGCTCACCTCCTCTCCTGCTCCTCTCCTCTCCTCTCCTGCTCCTCTCCTCTCCTGCTCCTCTCCTGCTCCTCTCCTCTCCTCTCCTGCTCCTCCTGCGCCTCTCCTCTCCTCTCCTGCTCCTCTCCTCTCCTGCGCCTCTCCTGCTCCTCTTCTGCTCCTCTCCTGCTCCTCTCTCTCCTGCTCCTGCTCCTCTCCTCTCCTCTCCTGCTCCTCTCCTCTCCTGCTCCTCTCCTGCTCTCTCCTCTCCTCTCCTGCTCCTCTCCTGCTCCTCTCCTGCTCCTCTCCTCTCCTGCTCCTCTCCTCTCTGCTCCTCTCCTCTCCTGCTCCTCTCCTGCTCCTGCTCCTCACCTCCTGCTCACCTCCTCTTCTGCTCCTCTCCTGCTCCTGCTCCTCTCCTCTCCTGCTCCTCTCCTGCTCCTGCTCCTCTCCTGCTCACCCTCCTCTCCTGCTCCTCTCCTCTCCTCTCCTGCTCCCCTCCTCTCCTGCTCCTCTCCTGCTCCTCTCCTCTCCTCTCCTGCGCCCTCTCCTCTCTCCTCTCCTGCTCCTCTCCTCTCCTCTCCTGCGCCCTCTCCTGCTCCTCTTCTGCTCCTCTCCTGCTCCTCTCCTCTCCTGCTCCTGCTCCTCTCCTCTCCTCTCCTGCTCCTCTCCTCTCCTGCTCCTCTCCTGCTCCTCTCCTCTCCTCTCCTGCTCCTCTCCTGCTCCTCTCCTGCTCCTCTCCTCTCTGCTCCTCTCCTGCTCCTCTCCTCTCCTGCTCCTCTCCCTCTCCTGCTCCTCTCCTGCTCCTCTCCTCTCCTCTCCTGCCCCTCTCCTCTCCTGCCTCCTCTCCTCTCCTGCTCCTCTCCTGCTCCTCTCTGCTCCTCTCCTGCTCCTCTCCTGCTCCTGCTCCCTCTCCTCTCTGCTCCTGCTCCTCTCCTGCTCCTCTCCTGCTCCTCTCCTGCTCCTGCTCCTCCTCTCCTGCTCCTCACCTCCTGCTCACCTCCTGCTCCTCTCCTCTCCTCTCTGCTCTGCACTGCTCCTGCTCCTCTCCTGCTCCTTCTCCTGCTCACCTCCTCTGCTCCTCTCTGCTCCTCTCCTCTGCTCTCACCTCCTGCTCACCTCCTGCTCCTCTCCTCTCCTGCTCCTCTCCTGCTCCTCTCCTGCTCCTCTCTCTCCTGCTCCTCTCCTGCTCCTCTCCTGCTCCTCTCCTCTCCTGCTCCTCTCCTGCTCCTGCTCCTCTCCTCTCCTGCCCCTCTCCTGCTCTCCTCTCCTGCTCCTCTCTCTCTCCTGCTCCTCTCCTGCTCCTCCCTCTCCTGCTCCTCTCCTGCTCCTCTCCTCTCCTCTCCTGCTCCTCTCCTGCTCCTCTCCTGGCTCCTGCTCCTCTCCTGCTCCTCTCCTGCCCTCTCCTCTCCTGCTCCTCTCCTCTCCTGCTCCTGCTCCTCTCCTCTCCTCTCCTGCTCCTCTCTCCTGCTC